AAACTGGACATTATTTTATACAACCGACAAGGATTCAGGGTCACCCCAACTATCAGTTTCTTCTTTAGTCTGAAGTACTGAAGTAATAATCTGTAACCAAATATTATGTCTTGTTTTATAACAAATGAGAACTGCTTATTAACAGTTTTTAAATGAATTCAAACTGTGTCTTTGGTTGGTTAATAAGCTGAAGTGCTGCCACTCCTCCTCCTCGGCCTGTGCGATGAGGAGTCTGGCTGTGACTCAGTGGGTCAGGATAACTCAGTATGTTGATACCAGCATGGACTAGCGTAGATGAAAAGGTTAATAAATGAAATGGGAGCTGCTGTTACGATTGAGGTGGAGGACTCACACGCAGGACTCTGATGCACACCGGGTGTATATACAAAAAGGTGAGGGGTCAGGGCTCCAGGGAAATCCAGGGGCAAAGTGCTCATTCCTCTTCAGGCAATCCACACACGCGACCAGCCTCTCTCTCCGACACTCACCACACAGGAAGCAGTCCAGGGAGTCTGTACACAGGGAAACGTACTGAAGGTTTCTGTTTGAGGCTACACTTCCTCCTCGTAGTCACCAAACTGGACTGATTTCCCACTTTGGACACAGTCAACCAGGCCAACAGTACCTTTGCAAAGCACCACAGGGCCTGGCTGGCTCTGTGGGGAGCCAGGCCTCCAGAGCTACAACCAGGCGACCAGGTGCTAAAGGAGGCAAAGGAATAATTGGACAACCGACAAAGTGAGCAGAAGAGAGCCAGCTTCTCAGACAGTTACTGCTGATGTTGCTGCTCTTTAGACAACTGAACAAGCACCACTGATGTGGTGCACCAGGAGCAGGAAGTGATGCAATAATGCAGCGAGCGTGCCACCCTATCTGTCCACAAAACCTACCATGCCTCTCAGTGTGAACATACAGGAGTGTGGAGTCGATATCGTAATATCTGGTTTGGATGAAGATGGGACTTCATAAATCAGTAAGCACTGTTACAGCAACGGCGCCCTGAGATTATCGGAGTGTTGGCCTTGGATTAAAACACATTTGGCTCTTGATGCTACGGTCAGGGTGTCCCCGTTTCCTTTTTAGACCTTACAGTGTGATGACTTCTGGAGGGTTCCACGGTTTCATCATCCCCCTTTTAAACTCTTTGCTCTCACTTGAGCCAATACATCTGGGACCTTCTCAGCACATGATGTGAGGGCCTTTTTCCCAGCCTGTTTGGCCTGCAAGCACAAAGTCGTTCCAGCGCATTGTGCACTTAGTCTCCCTGTGCGGCTCCAGTTATGTTTACAGTGTGTAGCCAGAAGTTAGTGTACAACAGGAAGAAACAGCTGCGGTGCCTGAAGCCTTCTCTCATGGCTGTCAGTTATAAAGCACATACAAGACAGATGGACCGAAGAGGGAAAGTTTAATAAAACATCATTTTCTTTAAGCTGCTTGTCGTCTTCCCTCAGTCGTTGAAGAGGAATTCTGTTTGTCATGAACGAGCGAAGCAGTCGGTAACGGTAGCTGCTGTCTCCTCTCAGGCTGACGACACAGGAAACTCCATCTTCACGGTGCTGAGGAGGCCACAGGAGCCGGCTGCTGACCTGAGGAGGGTCAAGAGCTGTGCCGTCTGTTACGGTAACGACTGATGCTCATATCTCATCTGCACTGCACACTTTTTTAGTTCGAGTTAGATGAGCTGTGTGGGATCAAAGTGAATATGAGGAAGCTTGACTTTACAGTCCTCTTAAAAATGTAAATCGCCACATCTCACTGCTCTCAGGACGTGCGGCTACTTTTATTGATGCCATTATCGGCTCTGCAGCAGGTGACTGTGATAGTAGGTAGGGGTGGGACTTTATTTTGGTGGGCACAGCATGCGGCCAATCGCAAGCAAAGACAGACTGGGATCATACCGATATGTGACAGAAGGAAGGGGGCCGACACTCCGAGGCAGCAAGTGTAGCTTCAGGCCGAGTGCACAGACAGAAACACAGGGCTGAGACCGCAGAGCTGAGTGCAGAGTTCTTAAAGCTGGCCTGGTTTTATTTTCAGCCATTTTTCCACGATGGAGAACAAAACGTTTCAACTTGTCCAGGCCTTAAACGTGATGCGTGTTCTCCCCTGCGAGTCTCACAGCCCTGAATGTGCACTTGAAGCCATTTTTGATTCTAACTTGTTGGATCTGCTGCTCACCGCAAACAAGCTGCTGCAGTTTTACGACTTTCCCTGCTGATTAAAACCTCCCTGAGTCATTAAGCAATAACAAATGAAAGGTTTTTATACGACTGCAGTTAAAAACAAAACTTCCAGAACTTTTTCTGTGATTTCACACATTTCTTTCTTTGTTCATCGTGTAGAAAAACAGTTAAATATTTAACTTCTGTACACTGACAGAGACTTTGGTTGATACATAACTTTATGCCTTTAGGTGTCTAATCCTTCCCTGGATGAAAAACAGTTACACAATATCAGACTTGTTTGTTTCAGTTTTGGTAATACATGAGAAAAATCACTTTTTACAATGAAGTTAACGTTAAATACACGAGCAGCGTATGTGGATGAATAAAGGTGTTTTCAGTGGCTGCTGCTGTCTCTGCAGACCCCTGCAGGCGTGCAGAGGAGTGCGCCTTCATCCAGGAACCAGTGCTGCCTCAGCAGGCGGATGTGGACCTGGTCATGGTGCTGGACAGCTCCAGGGAGATCCAGGCCGATGAATACGCCGGTGCCCGGCAGCTGCTGAGCTCTGTGGTGGAGCAGCTGGCCGTGAGTCCACAGCCCCGCCGAGCCGGCCGCCAGGCCCGAGTAGCTCTGGTCCAACAGAGCACCAAGGTGGAGTTCGGCCTGCAGACCTACCAGAACGCTGGAGACATGAAGACGTACATGATGCAGAACATGCAGCGGCAGGGCGGCTCTTTGGCGCTGGGACAGATGCTGGACTACACCCTGAGGGAGGTGCTGCTGAAGGCCGGCCAGCCGCGCAGCAAGAGGGCCGTCCTGACTGTGGTGGGCACCAAGACGGCCTACAGAGACCAGGCCAAGCTGCGCTACATCTCCCAGAAGGCCAAGTGTGAGGGGGTGGCGCTGTTTGTGGTGGCGGTGGGTGATCGTTACAACCGGATGGAGGTGGAGGAGCTGGCCAGCGTGCCGATACAGCAGCACCTGATCAGACTCGACAGGCTGAAGGCCGACGAGCAGGGCTACGCCCAGCGCTTCATCAGGGTCTTCCTCTCCGCCCTCAACAGTAAGAGCACGCTCAGATCTCCCTGTCCTCTGTAACCAGACACACACTGACGGGCTGTTCGGGTTTATTTCAGAGGGACTCAACGCTTATCCTCCACTCCCATTTAAACTGACCTGCAGCCAGCTGTCAGAGCCAGGCGACACTCTGGACACGACAAACACCACACAGACACACAGACTCACACAGACTCACACAGACTCACACAGACTCACACAGACCAGACTCACACAGACTCACACAGACCACACAGACTCACACAGACAAACACAGACCACACAGACTCACACAGACACACACAGACTCACACACACACAGACCACACAGACTCACACAGACTCACACGAGACCACACAGACTCACACAGACTCACACGACTCACACTGACTCACACAGACCACACAGACTCACACTGACTCACCACACACAGACTCACACTGACACACAGACCACACAGACTCACACTCACACGACTCACACAGACTCACACAGACTCACACTGACTCACACTGAGCCACTCCACTGACTCACAGACTCACACAGGTCATCAACAACGACTCTGGTATACTCAAACACACCTAAAGCAGATACTCGTAACTGGAGAGATGCTTCACAAATCTAGAGGATCATCATTTAGCCTGGAGAAATAGTTTGCTGCTTTATAAGAAAGCCCTCCGCAAAGCCAGAACATCTTACTATTCATCACTGATTGAAGAAAATAAGAACAACCCCAGGTTTCTCTTCAGCTCTGTAGCCAGGCTGACAAACAGTCAGAGCTCTGTTGAGCCAACCATCCCTTTAACGTTAACTAGTAATGACTTCATGAACTTCTTCACAAATAAAATTTTTATCATTAGAGAAAAAATTACCAGTAATCATCCCACAGATGTAATATTATCTACAGCTACTCTTAGTACCATTGATGTTAAGTTAGACTCTTTTTCTCCAATTGATCTTTCTGAGTTAACTTCAATAATTACTTCCTCCAAACCATCAACGTGTCTTTTAGACCCCATTCCTACAAAACTGCTCAAAGAAGTCCTGCCATTAATTAATTCTTCGATCTTAAATATGATCAACCTATCTCTAATGATCGGCTATGTACCACAGGCCTTCAAGCTGGCTGTAGTTAAACCTTTACTCAAAAAGCATCTCTAGACCCAGCAGTCTTAGCTAATTATAGGCCAATCTCCAACCTTCCTTTCATATCAAACATCCTTGAAAGAGTAGTTGTCAAACAGCTAACAGATCATCTGCAGAGGTTTATTTGAAGAGTTTCAGTCAGGTTTCAGAGCTCAGCACAGCACAGAAACAGCTTTAGTGAAGGTTACAAATGATCTTCTTATGGCCTCTGACAGTGGACTCATCTCTGTGCTTGTCCTGCTAGACCTCAGTGCAGCGTTCGATACTGTCGACCATAATATCCTATTAGAGCGATTAGAACATGCTGTAGGTATTACAGGTACTGCACTGCAGTGGTTTGTATCATATCTATCTAATAGACTCCAGTTTGTTTTTTATGGCCCCGCCCCTCCCTGAGCCTGGTTCTGCTGGAGGTTTCTTCCTGTTAAAAGGGAGTTTTTCCTTCCCACCGTTGCCAAGTTCTTGTTCATATGAGGTCGTCTGATTGTTGGGTTTCTCTGTAGTATTTCTATGCCTTGAAATATAAAGCACATAAATGTTAGTAAACAGCAGTTTCGGAGCAGCAATAATTAAACGTGTTATTCAGAAAGCTATTGTGATGGCTCAGCGAGTGCCGCTGCTCTGTGTCCAGTCAGGGCTCAGCAGACTGGGAGCTGGAGATTTCCGATCAGCCGAGAAACTGGTTCCAGGAGCAGACGGGAATCTTGGCAAGAAACCTGAGCGTCATCAACACTCTGAGCAAAAGAAAGAGGTCGTTTTCAGGAGCTGACCTCACAGGTAGAGCACTCACACACACACATAAACACACACACACACACACACTCACTAATTAGTGCTCAGTAACATTCAAAAACAAAGAAAAGCATCTGCACTTTCAGTTTCTTGAAGACGTTTCACCCGAGAAGCTTCTTCAGTTCTCAGAGCGACTGGTGGAGCGTCCCAGATTTTTAAGCCCTGTGGGAGTGTCCCTACGAGGGTCGTGGACCTCCTATTGATCCTCTGCCTGGGTGTGAAAATGGGTGGGGGTCACAATCAACCAAGATGTTGGGTGAACCCACACGTGTAAAGAAAGCTCTTAAAACATGCGGTTATCCATCAAATCAGCAAAGAGGCTGATTCCCTGAGCTCAGAAGGCCCAGGATGTGATTGGGTGTTAAGGTGTCGGGAATGAAATCACATGATAGGGTGGAGTTAGGTTTCACCCAAACCCTTGGCTGATTGTGACCTGCACCTGTTTTCATACCTCGGCTCGTGTGATTAGGTACAGGATCATTAGGGGGTCCGTCGTCCCCTCTTGGGCCGGGGCTTAAACCAGTTGCTCTAAGAACTGAAGAAGCATAAACGTCTTCAAGCAACTTAAAGAAGTCCAGACGCTTTTCTTTCCAAGCTCCTCAGACTACGATGAGCTGGATGACTGAGAACCTTTACAGACATGTTTCTAATTAGTTAAAAACAAACAGATTTTAACCACGAATGGTTCACATTCAGTCGGCAGTGAGTCCACATCATTAACAAGCACACACTCGGATCACTGGCCTGTTTATGGCCGTCTGTGTTGCTGTTTATTTCTCCCCTGTGGGTGTAACTCAGCCTGTGGTGTTGTAAAGTGCTCTAATGAAACCTGCTTCACTGAAGCTCTGCAGCTTTAGCTCACACTCCCTGCTGACTGTTTGGTCTCTGACAGATGTGGACGTGGAGCCGACGAAGCAGCTGGACAGTTTTGTGTCCACAGGTGAGCATCCACCTGCTCTCAGTCACACTGTCCTTTCTCTTCCTCGCTACGATGACGGGAAGAACGCTGAGTTTGAGGAACGCAGATGATCTCGGTGACATCGCACCTGCAGTCTGCAATCATCAAATAGGGAGACATTGACCAAAACATGAGCCACAAACATTCAGCCTACTTCAGTTTAACCAGCCAAGAACTGAGGGAAAGTCTTTTAGTGGGGTAGCTCAAACCGGTCAAAAGATACAGACTAAAATTAATTCCCCTTCAGACGACATAAACGGTGGCACGGTGGTTAGCACTGTTGCCGCACAGCAAGAAGGTCCTGAGTTCAATTCCACCATCAGGCCGGGGTCTTTCTGTGTGGAGTTTGCATGTTCTCCCCGTGTTTGCGTGGGTTCTCTCCGGGTACTCCGGCTTCCTCCCACCGTCCAAAGACATGCAGCTTGTGGGGATAGGTTAATTGGATAATTCAAATTGCCACTAGGTGTGAATGTGAGTGTGAATGGTTGTCTGTTCCTGTGTGTTGGCCCTGCGACAGACTGGCGACCTGTCCAGGGTGGACCCTGCCTCTCGCCCTATGACGGCTGGGATAGGCTCCAGCGCCCCCCGCGACCCTGAAAAGGATAAGCGGAAGCGAATGGATGGATGGATGGATGGATGGTCGACATAAACGAGTGTGCTGGGTGTCAGGAGGTTACAGTGTTATTAGTAAGAAGCACAGCTGCACTTTGCAGCTCGATACATAAACTGTGCCCAGTGTCCTGCTAGCCTGCCATGTGAGCCTCTGAGGACAACGACTGATATTTCCCAGCCTTCAGAGCAGACGGCAGATATCCGAGCTCAGACTTCCTGTTCAGTTCACTCTTCATTGTTTATGCATTTAATAATAGTCTGCAAGAATCAAATCAAACACCCTGGCAAAGAAGCCCCAGAGCTGCTGCTCTACCCTCCTCAGTGGAGAGCGTGATCCTCCTGTGTTTGTACTCAGGGGCCACGACTGAGAGCAGGAAGGCTGCACTGAGGGTCATTAGCACCCCCCAAAAAATCACTGGCTGCCCTCTGACACACCTGGAGGCCATCGCCAGATCCTCCTGTCTCAAGTAAACCAGGGCCATCACAGGTGGCTATCACAGGTGACCCCGCCCACCACCTGTTTGACCTCTGGTCTGCGCCTCAGGTCAGTCAGCTGCCACACCTCCAGACTCACTAACAGCTTCTCCCCCGACCCCTGCCCACCAATCCGAGGCACGGTCTGAGTGACCCTCATCACTCAGGACGCTCACACACTCACATTCCTCTAGAGCAGGGGTCGCAACCTGCGGCTCTTTAGTCCTTATACTGCGGCTCCACGTGGTTTGGAAAAAAATGACAAGTAACTGAAGTGTATTTTAATTGTCTTGGTTCTTTTTTAACTTGTAGTTCGAAATTGGAAGATTATCGTGATCTTGAAATACAAAAATAAAATTATATGTTAGTATTCTTCATCGCTCAAAATAACCGTACCCGCCGAAGCGCCATGCATTTATCGAGGCTTTCAACCCCAGGCAGGCCAAGCATGGATCTTTGGATCCACAAACGTATGTGACCAGCTTTGGACCCAGCTTGTTGTTACCATAGTTCATGGAGGAGCTCATGAACTATGGTAACAACAAGCTGGGTCCAAACTGCTCTTTGGGTGTTAAAGGTTGCTGACCCCGATCTGTCTGCTATGTATTCCTGAAGCCCTTTACTATTGATATATTTTCTTCCTCCGTTGCAGAGCGCCCATAATTTTGCACATGTACAATGACAATAAAGGGCTCTTCTATTCTTCTGTTCTGTTTTATTAAGTTTGTTTTTCTGTGAGCTGATTTTGCCTCCTCGCTCCTGTCACCTCTTGCAGGCATCTGCTTCCTCGGCAAGGATGCTGGCGACTGTGTGAATTACACCGTCAGGTGGTTCTTCGACCACAAACGCAGCGTCTGCTCCCGTTTCTGGTACAGCGGCTGCGGAGGCAACGAAAACCGCTTTGCGACGCAGGCAGAATGTGAGAGAGTTTGTCTGTCAAAGCACAGATGAGGCGCTGGGCCACCGATCTGCACTGAGCTGACACAGCAGCAGAGCGACCTCAGAGCAGCTTCGTCCACAGTGGGTTTTGTTCTGGGCAGTTAAAGTGTGAAGACTTAAACACACACAAGGAGCCGCCTTGTCCTCCACCCATGTATGGTTAGTTTAGTTCACTCCTCTGAAACTACTTTACTGAAATGGAATAATCTTTTCTATGTCACAGGGTGCTATTTTTAAAGGTATTTTCATTTTTAAATACTTTAAATGCTTCCAAGAGAAGACATCACGAGAATGTGTTGAAAAATGATTTTATGCCTAAAACCTTTATGAATTATGTTTAACAGATGCCAAAGGAAGCAGGACTGTGATGCAAATTTCTACCAGGCGTTGGTGCAGTGCCTTTGCAGCTGCAGCCGGGCAAACAAAATCTGTGAGAAAATTTAGAAACATCAAAAACTAAAGTTAAAACAACGCCAGCTCAAGAAACGCTGCCCCCTGCTGTTGAAAATATTAAAACCTGCCTTTAAAATCCAAATATTTCCAAAGCTCGCAGGTGCCTTGAAGCAGCTCCTCTGAAACAGCTGCATGTATTTTGTACTGTTTGTTTCTGAATAAAAGTTTGTGTTTAGATAAAAGTCCGACATGTGTCCGTGTCTGTGTGCCTCTTCAGGATTTCAGTGAAAACAACCCAAACCTGACATTAAAAGAGATAAACGCAGCACAACAAAGTTTAAAACATTATCCACCTGATATGTTAAAGCTCATATGAAATATTCAGTGATCCTGTCACGCGAGGTTCAATCTCTGCGTTCAGGTCAAAGACGGTACTGCTGTGCTGTGTTCCTGCCTCAAGGTGGCACTGCATTGTGTTCATTCATTTGTGTTAAGTCTTTTTGTTTTATTGGATTCCAGCCTTTGTAAAAGAAAATCATGCGTCTTTGGGTTTGAAGGCTGTCACATGACCTTCAGCGCCGACGGTGTCACCGCTCCAGGACGGTCCACCAGCAGCGCTACGAGCCAAAGGGAGCATCATCAGGAAGCAGGCATGTCCCTCACTTTGCACAGACTGTAAAGGTGAAATGTGATGTTATTCATTAGTCTGTGAATTCCAGTTTTGCCCCATTAAAAATGCACAGAAAGATATTTAACCAGCGTGAAAAACTCCAGGCAGACGTCACAGGCAGCACAGAGCGGACCCAAACGCAGACTCATGCACTGAAACATGAACTCAAAATACAGCTTTACTGCTCAGAATGGAAAAGGGAATACAAAACGATACTGGGAACACTGGGAAATGCACACAACCATGACCTTCACAATAAAACAGGAAACAGAGGAACATGAGACATAGAGGGCAAAGACACGAGGGGAAATCTAATAAACTGAATAAACCTTGGACCTAAAACACAAATAGTAACACAACATGACAAAGGACACAAGGAACTCCAAACACTGGGTGATATGACCGAGACCATGACCCACAGGCCTGTCACAGGTTTCCTAACGTGTTCTCAGCCTGTATGTATGTAGTGAGCTACAAAGGGGTTAGCAATAGACATAAAAATATTAATTTGAAAGTACTCACAGTCATAGATCAAGAGATTAGATTCATAATTATTAAATGATCTATACTTGACAACAAGCTGTGTATCGTAAGTGAATATGGCCCAAATGTTGACGACGCCTCATTCTTCCACTGCACTCTCTGAACACCTAAATTACTCACTTGACCTCATCTTCGGACTAAATAGAGAGAAAGGCTCAACACAGCAGGAAGTCAGCGCAGTCCACAAATATAATCAAACTGTAGACGAGCGATGCTGGGCTTTGCGACTTTGGCACTCCCTTCACCCCAACAGTAAGGAATATTCTTTCTTTGTCACGGTTAGCGCTGGCCAACCGTGGGGATGTGGGAGTGAAGACCCAGATGCAGGACTCTTAATGATGACGAGTGCGTTTATTTACAGCGATGTAAACAGTTCATTGGCTCTCGTGCCACATCTTCTTCCCAACTGCCTCGTGCTCTCTGCTCCCGTGTCTCTGCACACATTTTAAAGAGTTAACTGGAAATTTTTATTTGCAACTTTACACAAAACTCCCCAACAGCCTGTGTCCGAACAAATGAGCAAACATCGTCCAGCGTCTGTCTCCTGAGGGGCACCAGGCAGGGATGCCCACTCTCCCCTTCACTGTTTGCAGTGTTTGTCGAAACACTAGCAGCAGCAATTAGACAGAATACAGTGATTAAGGGCATAAAATGTAAACATAAAATCAGTCTATGTGCAGACGATGTGTTGCTTTCTCTCCAAAACTCACAACAGATGCTTCAGTGTGACCAGAAAATCCTTTTGATTCACAAGTCAAACATGTAAATCCACCTCTAATGAGGAAGATGACGGGAGGAGCCGGAGGAGGTGCCACCTTTCCTCCTCCACCCCCCCGCCATCGCCCCTCTCCTCCTCTAAAAGCAGCCCTGAGCTGCAGCTCTGGATCAGCTGTGTTTGGTTGCAGAGGTGCTGATGCTGCTGCAGCAGAGCTGTAAGTGGGTTCACGTCTTTTTCTCTTTAATCTTGCAGTCAAAGAAAATATGCAGATTTTTCTGAGTCAATTTGGGAAGTTTGGAATTTCCTGTTGTGTCAGAGAGGAAATGATTGCATGCGCAGTTTACCGTCTGTCTCCTCCTGAAATATCATCTGATGATGTCTGATCACAGGTCAGTTTTGTGTGATTCCAGCTGTGATGTTGTGAAAGCAGCTGCTTGTCTGCTGAGACTTTTAGTGGAGCTCAAACTACAGACTGAGCTGCAGCAGCTCACGGTGTGTCAGAGCAGACGGGCATTAACGCTTCAGCCCAAAAAGACGAGTGTGGTTGTTACCTTGGCACGCCTGTGCAGCCGCCTCTTCAGATTGGGATTCATTGAGAATGTGCTGCCTGATGAATGTTGCATGGACTGACACTGCCTTATGCCCCTCATGCTGTTTCAACTGTTATCTCAGATCTTTGTGCTTTAATCAAAGATCTTTTTTATTTTTGTTAATTTTGAAAATAAAAATATTTCAGTAATGAAATAAATTATATAATAATAATTATTATAAAATTATATAATATTTCAGGGTTAAAGTTGAAATACTGTTTACTCTTTAATCTTGAAGTAGTACTGTGAGATCTCAGATTTTGTCTTTCTTTCTTCAAATTAAATATACAGTGCACTAAGGGTTTTGTTCTCTTTGTGTCATTTGTTGTTCTGGCCTCTAGTTTAAGTCACTGTCTTCTGTTTCATGGGTTATATTCCTTCTGGCTATCCTTCAGTGTCACGTTTGAGTGTTTGTGATTTGTGTCTTATTTCCTGTTTTATTTTGATAGTCCAAGTCCTATGTCAGTGTATTCAGTTTTACCTGCCCCTGTCTCGTTAGTCCTAATCTCTCCCAGCTGTGTCTCCCTCCTGTTTCCCATTCCCTGATTACTCCCTGTGTATATAAGCCCTCTGTTTGCCTTTGCTGTCTTTTGTGTCGTACTTTCTCCATGCCGTGTGTTTGTCGTGTTCCAGTGTTTCTACTTTGTTTTGTTTTTGAGTTATTTTTATGAGGGTTTTTCAGCATTAAGGCAGCGTTTTGAGTTCCAGTCCTGTCTGTGTGAGTCCTGTGCAGTATCTCAGCTGTTCCTAGGACTGCACTCTTCTTCACAGAGATCTCCGATGTTGTTCCTGGGATCTGCTGGAGCCACTTGCCTAGTTTGGGGGTCACCGTACCAAGTGCTTTGATTACCACTGTGACCACTGTTACCTTCACCCTCCACATCCTCTCCAGCTCTTGATATTATTAGAGCTTCCCTTTAAGTCTAGCTTTGTCCTGCCACTGGTAGGATTTCTGGATATTAGCCATCTCCTCTACGTGCAGGGGCCTGTACTTCCATGATGGTTCCTCGTCTCCCTCCTCTTTCTTGGGTTTCTGTTGCCTGAGGTATTAAGTTGGAACAATTCAATTTTATTTATATAGCGCCAAATCACAACAAAAGTCGCCTCAAGGTGCTTCATAGATACAGAGAAAAACCCAACAATCATATGACCCCCTATGAGCAAGCACTTTGGCGACAGTGGGAAGGAAAAACTCCCTTTTAACAGGAAGAAACCTCCGGCAGAACCAGGCTCAGGGAGGGGCGGGGCCATCTGCTGCGACCGGTTGGGGTGAGAGAAGGAAGACAGGATAAAGACATGCTGTGGAAGAGAGACAGAGGTTAATAACAGATATGATTCAATGCAGAGAGGTCTGTTAATACATAGTGAGTGAGAAAGGTGACTGGAAAGGAAAAACTCAATGCATCATGGGAATCCCCAGCAGCCTACGTCTATTGCAGCATAACTAAGGGAGGATTCAGGGTCACCTGGTCCAGCCCTAACTATATGCTTTAGCAAAAAGACTCCAAGGTTCCTCACAGCGTTACTGGAGGCCAAGGTAATGCCATCCAGAGTAAGAATCTGGTTAGATACCATATTTCTAAGATTTTCAGGGCCGAGTACAATAACCTCAGTTTTGATCTGAATTAAGAAGCAGAAAGTTAGCGGCCATCCAGGTCTTTATGTCTTTAAGACATTCCTGCAGTTTAACTAATTGGTGTGTGTTATCTGGCTTCATGGACAGATAGAGCTGGGTGTCATCTGCATAGCAGTGAAAATGTATGCTATGTCTTCTAATGATGCTGCCTAAGGGAAGCATGTATAATGTAAACAGAATTGGTCCTAGCACTGAACCCTGTGGAACTCCATAATTAACCTCAGTGTGTGAAGAGGACTCTCCATTTACATGCACAAACTGGAGTCTATTAGATAGATATGATACAAACCACTGCAGCGCAGTACCTGTAATACCTACAGCATGTTCTAATCGCTCTAATAGGATATTATGGTCGACAGTATCGAACGCTGCACTGAGGTCTAGCAGGACAAGCACAGAGATGAGTCCACTGTCAGAGGCCATAAGAAGATCATTTGTAACCTTCACTAAAGCTGTTTCTGTGCTGTGCTGAGCTCTGAAACCTGACTGAAACTCTTCAAATAAACCTCTGCAGATGATCTGTTAGCTGTTTGACAACTACTCTTTCAAGGATGTTTGATATGATATGATATTCATATATCTACCACAGCATCGCAGGCAATACAACTTTATTTATAGCACATTTAAACATCAAAGTGCTTCACAACAAGGTTAGAATATAAGATATAGGAGTCCAAAAAACCCTAAAAAGTACAGATAAAATAAGCAATAAAACTTCAGAATATAATTTAAAAGAGAATTACTGAGTATAAATATAAGGTGGGGGTATTTATACAGTGGAGCATCAGTAGAAGATAAATACTATAGGATAAAATATAGGGGATGTGCACTAACTAGCTGAAAACACTCGGTCAAACAGCCAAGTTTTTAACAGCGTGTTAAATGAATAGATGGAATTAGAGGCGCGAATAGCAGCAGGAAGATTGTTCCAGAAGCTCGGGGCTGCCAGGACAAAAGCACGGTCACCTCTTAGCCGGGATCTAGGCTGCACTACGAGTCTCTCAGGGGTATAGGAGAGCTCTGGACTACTGCAGGACTTTGCTGGTAGATGACGCAGGCGAGCAGTTTGAGTCTAATATCCAAAGTACCAAACAAAGAAAAGAGTAAACAAAAATCACAAAATAAGAAACTGAAAGGGCAGCTTTACTCTTACTTAAATGTAATTGGGAATAAACACTAAAACTAGAAACCGCTGAAGGGGACAGTGAGGGTGATCAGGCAGACAGCTGTGCACACAGCTGGCACAAATCAGGAGTAATGAGCAGGAACTCGATATTAAACAAACACGACTGATTTCACGAGGAGACAAAAGGACGACACACAGAAAGTAAAATAACTAAATGGAAAGATAACATACACGTGACCAGACTAGATACAAGGAAACTTAAATGTCTTTAATGTCAGTAAAAATGTAAAATCTGCTCTTTCTTCTGTCAGACGCCGACAGCAGCTCCACAAACAGCTGGAAGCTCAAGAACCGAACACGACTCTGGATTTGTTTGTCTGACGGGGCACCCCGGGTGTCGACGGCACCAGACCAGCACCCAAAGGAGACCCCGGCAGCCCAGGGACACTGGTAAGACACATCCATACTCTGCATGTAAAACATGGAAGTAGTGACCATGACATCACCCACTGGTTGGTGGAGTAGTCCTTTGAAGCCACAACTTTATGGTCGAGTTTTAGGGGATCAGAGGTAACTGCACGAGAAGGTGTCTGCTGGTAAGGGGACTCGTTTTAGGAGCATCGGGTGGACATTAGACGAACTGCAGCTTTTGGGGGTCTCAGTTATTTATAGTGTTAAATGTTGGGCTGAACTGTAAGGTTCATTTTTCTACATCCATCTGGATCAGTGATGGATGCTGGAGATGATTCTGGTGAGCTCATCAGACTTACGACATCTCGTTCATGCTGTTACATGAAGGCTGATTTGCAGTTACAAAGCACTTGGCCTCTTGTATAAACAGATTTGTTTAAGAGTTTCCTGATGTTTTTCATTTAGTTACATAACTGGTCTTGAGTATGTGAAGTATTGCGGTCGGACAGGGTTTTTATTCATGGGCCTGTTTGTTTGCTCTCAGTGTTTTTGGCAGCTTTCACAGAGTATTTGTAAAGCTCGTTGTACCAGTGTAGCATCAAACCTGTGTCATTAATCACTGATTGCTGGACCCTTTTGCTACTCCACATTCAGCTCGTGCACTGGGGGAGTGAACATTTAAGACATTCCCGGGCAAGCGGATCTATATAATCTCTCTCATTGGTTCTGGGTCTGCCGCCGGTGTTCCTCTCAGTTGAGCATTGTAACAGGGCGGCCCTTAGCGGCTGGAAACACAGTAAGATGGACCAAGGCAAGTGTAGTGGAACAATAAGTATTTATTTGCCATACAGCTCCTTACAAACAATTCACTTGTCGAGCTTCTTCACAGCACATCAACCCTCTAATGACAGCCTTAAATATGTTCAGCTGTCACAGACTAAACCATTATTCCACTTTCAGGTAAATTCTTAAATCCCAACCTTCCACCACAGTATACATTATACCAGTTTGAATAAATACATAAATACATTTCACAAACCTTGGATTACCCCAGAAATTAAAGCCGTCCTCAAGCAGAAGAGGAGGGCCTTCAAATCTAGAGACAAGGAGGAGCTGGAAAGGGTGCAGAGAGAGCTGAGGGGACTGATAAGGAAAGGGAAGGACAGCTACAGGCAGAAGATGGAGAACCAGCTTCGAGAGAACAACGTTGGTGAGGTCTGGAGGGGCCTCAGAGCCATCTCGAGGTGGGCAAACGAACTGAATCATTACTTCAACAGGTTTGATTCATCATGAGGTGGTCTCCAACCCTCACCCAGCCCCACTGCTGCTGCTCCACCTCTGACACCTCTACTCACCCTGCTCACTCCTCCCCACCCCCAACAACAGCAAGACTGTAAATAATGAACAGGCTGTCAACTTTAATTCAAATGCTCATTTTAAGTGCTAAAACATATTGATCACATAATCCCAGCACACAATCCTGTCAATTAAAAGCACTAACAATTAAAGTTTTTTGGTTTTTGTCCCTGGATGTCTCTACAGTCCCTGCAGGACTGTAGAGACATCAGGCAGTCATTGGATTTTCATCCAAGTTTAAAAACTTATATTTATATTAATATAAATATATTATTTAATTATATTGAATTGTGTTTTTTTTTCCAATTGCTTTTAAAGCTTTTGAAAATTGGAGGCTGTGCATGAAAATGTCTGACATCCCTGAACAGTTAATAAAACCTTTGATAAACCGAAGCTGAAAGTCTTCAGTCACATTTTAATCTGTTGCCTTAAACGCACAGATACAACTTTAAAGATTTTATAAGACCTTTTTTGTGACGCACAGGGTCGCTCTGGTTTACAACGCTGTTAATAAATACATTTGATTCATGTTTTTCTTTCTTGTGCAGGGTCGTAATAGAAGAAGAGCTCCCGGTGGTGAGAAGGTCTGTTACTGTGCACAGATATCTGACTCACCTGGTGAGAGAGGAACCCGAGAACCTCCCAGGTGCTGCTGGGCCACAGGTGAGTCCTATCGTGACGGTATGCTCATGTAACACTAACAAAGCGCTAATGAATGAATGCATATCAGGTATTAAGCTAAATATCGGGCTATTATTAATCAGAAGATGTAAGAACGGCTACTGGAGTTGATTGTCAATAATTAATAAATACAACACAAAAGCTTTTGCAGGTATCATGTATTTCAACAAAACAAAGAAAAAGCCATTTGGGGTGCACAAACACAACTAAATAATCCTGTAGCTTATATTAAGCAATATAGGTTCTCAAATCAAAAAATGTTCCCCATAAATAACACACATCTGTATCTAAACGAGTCCGGCTCCCAGCCGTTCGTCGGCTCGCCATCCTTTTTAAACCCAAAAGGGTCACCTGGCCTGTATTAAATAAACAGGGTCAACAAGAAATCACAAAAATAATATTAAAATGTTAATGCCAGGTAAGCTAAATACAAGTTATTCTTGTTCCTGTGTACACAACTTATAAATAAAAAAACAACATATTTAACCAATTAGGATTTAACAAACAGTTCAACTGCAATATACAGATTGTACAACTTCAAAACATTTGTTATCCAACAAATATCAGTCAACTCAAAACAGTCCTTCAAGTAGTTTGGACCTGGAGGTTGCTGTGGTCTGCTCTTAGATCCACTGGCCACTGAGCTCTTCCTATAGCGAATACCATCAATCAGCTCCAATTTATTCAGTTCTCTACGGAGAAGAGGAATTTCAGGAAGCTCTTTCATGGCTGTTGGGGGAACCTTTTCTCCTGACTCCAACTGGTGAATAACCTCCCGGAGAGTTGGATCGGTTCTCTGTTTTTGATAAATAGATATGGTGGAAATAACAGGAAGTGCATGGGAATCTTCTGAGTAATTCTCAGGAAGCACTGTGTTGATGGACAGGGATTCGACCAAACTATTCTCAGCTTGGGTCCTGACAGCTTTGGCAAATCGCATCAGCGACTTCAGCTGATATTTCATCATCACTGTTGCTTGAGAGATGTTGTTGAGCAAACTGATTAGTAGCGCCTCATCTTTCTGAGCAGGTTCAGGTTTTTGCTTGCCAGCTCGATACTGTATCTTGAACGAGAATGTAGAAATACAGCCAGCCAACGATGGCCGGTAGCATCCAACTTTGTTGATGTCTAGATATAGGTAAGAGGGTTGTTATCCGTGACCACTGTAAAATTTGCTCCATGCAAGTAATCATGAAATGTTTCTGTCACGCTCCACTTCAGTGCCAAAACTTCAAGCTTGTGAGCTGGGTAACGACTTTCACTGGATGACAATGCCCTACTGGCATAGGCTGTCACCCTAAGTCTCCCCTCTTGCTCTTGGTAAAGGGCGGCGCCCAATCCGGAGGTACTGGCGTCAGTGTGGAAGATGTAAGGCAATGCCGGATCAGCAAAACCTAGAACTGGTGCAGTGCTAAGTTTGTCAATGAGAGTATCAAAAGCCAAGTGGCATTCAGGACTCCACCTGGAACCAAAGATTGCTTGGGATCAAACTGTGAGCTCTTAGAAGTCTCATTTCTGGAATCAGAATCAGAATCAGTTTATTGCCAAATGTTGAGCAGGTTTACAACATTAGGAAATTGCTGCGGTGCTTCAGTGCAAACATAGTGTCATAAATTGCGATTAAATAGACATGAAGGAATAAGAATTAAAAGTGCTATGTAGAAAGATATGTGCATGAGATATACATGAGATATATACATGAGAATAAGAATTAAAAATGCTGCATAGAGAGATATATACATGAGTGCAGGTGGTGATCAGTGCCAAGCATGTAATGATGCAGTGACACAGCGTAGGGTCATGTGTTTGTGGCAGGGACAGTCATATGGAGCTTTCGTGAGTGGATGGGTATCCACATGTGAGGTTGTTGAGTGGCTTGGCCTGTAGTACCCAGCGAATCCCAAGCACGGAAACCCATTTTGAGCCAGTGAGCGCTGTAAACGACCTTGGTCCCATATTCCTAATCACGTCCCTGTGGGATATATAAACTTCTTTCTCTAACCACTTTTTTACTCTACTTCTCATCCAGGAAGCAAGCACTAAAGGCTCGTTCAGAGCAGCTGCACACACTTAGTCCTTCAGTCGTTTTTGGCCGAGTAGACAGAGTTCTCATGAATGATGATCCTTTATGTTATGTGTTTAACTCCAGCGTGGTGTAGCTGTTGGACTTGGCTCATAAAGAGACTTCCAGAGAAATTCACTGGAGCTGTGTGTGTGTACGCAACTTTAAATATTGTCATTTATTCATATTGATGACAAGGATATACACTCGTAATCAGGCATTAATGTTGCTGCAGGGAGCCGGGGGAACGGCGGCGAACCAGGACCCAAAGGAATGCCTGGTTCACTTCACCGGTGCAGATAAGCCTATAGTGACTGATTTAAACAGTATCACTGCTCATGATGTTAATAGAGTGTGAGCTGTGCCTCTTGCAGGGTAAACATAGACCAGTTGGGGAACCAGGGCCAGCTGGAGGTCGTGACATCACTTCCTATGGCACCCAGCTGTAAAAGTGACTGTGTTTGTAGGTTTTTCAAATTGAATACTGTTGCATCGGACTCTCTTCAGTCAGAAAGTGGTTTCTGTATCTAAATGACGTCGAGCTACTTCCTGTTCCTTTACAACAGAGAAAGCCAACAGCACATAACGCTCCCTGTATCTCAAGTTCCCAGTTTATTATTCCGTTCACACATATTAACATATGAGAGCAGATGGTTCGTAAATGTTTTGACCAATCTGTTGTTGTTTCAGGGCCAACCAGGAGATCCAGGTGTAATTCTGGATCACAGGGACCCAGAGCAATGCTGGTAGGGAATTTAACGTCTCATTTAATGGTTTTTCTTTATTTTCACAACTATTTACATTGTAGATTCTCATCAAAAATACGAGTGCACACTCATATGGACTTATTTAGTAAACAAAACAGTGTGAAATAACTCAAAACATGTTTGATAATGTAGACTATTCATAATTTCCACTCTTTGCTGTGATTACTGCTTCGCTCACTCTTGTCATTCTCTCGGTGAGCTTCATGAGGTCGTCTCCTGAAATGGTTTCCAACAGTCTTGAAGGAGTTCCCAGAGATGCTGAGCTCTTGTTGGCCCTTTGCCATCACTCAGCGATCAGATTTGGACTCATCAGACTAAAGCACAGATGTCCACTGGTCTAATGTCCATTCTTTGTGTTTCTTGGTCCAAACAAATCTTTAGTCGTGGTTTCTCAGCAGCTATTTGACCATAAAGGCCTGATTCACACAGTCTCCTCTGAACTTGTAGAGATTTGTCTGCTACTGGAGCTCTGTGTGGCATCTATCTGGGCTCTAATCTGAGGCTGGTGGCTCGGATGAGTTTACCCTCAGCAGCAGAGGAGACTCTGGGGCTTCCTGTCCTGGGGCGTCCAAAGTTCAAAGTTTGTTATTCAAAATATTTAATTGAATATTTTATGGATATAGTTTACACAGACAAAAAGAAGACGGAAAACACAAACTGTTTATAATAATTACAAAACAGAACTTGTTGGAACATCGTTTTCCTCTCATATATTAACCAGACAAGTAACGAGAAGAAGGAAAAAACAAACAAAAAATGTGAAAAAAATAAAACAAAATAAAATAAATTTTAAAAACAACACAAAAACAAAAAACAAAACAAAAAAACCCCCCCCCCCCCCCCCCCCCGGCCTCAACAAAATAACAAAAGCCACAACAACCGGGAGGGATTATGATATTAACTAACCCTTTCCATAAGAACCACACAGAAGTTAGCTACGACATCACTGAGCTTCACGTTCCCGTTAACACAGACAGACATCAGACCACTAGAGAAGCAAATCCGTTAGTCAGCTGGAACATCCTTAAGTTGAAGTTTAGAGAAGTTTTCCAGAAAGAGACCCCAAATTTTATCAAATGTATCCTTTTGGTTCTGGATGGAGCAGTGGATGTTTTCCAGACTGAGACATGAATGACCACAGGCTGTCCTGTGCCCTTGTAAAGTCAGAAACCTCCTAAGGTTGGCTGTAGCTCAGGTGGCAGAGCAGGTCAGCCACTAATCAGAAGGTCGGTGGTTCGATCCCAGGCTGCATCCTGGCTGCCAAATATCCTTGGGCAAGATACTAACCCCGTGTTTGCCTACTGGTGGTGGTCAGAGGGCCCGGTGGCGCCTGTGTCCGGCAGCCTCGCCTCTGTCAGTGCGCCCCAGGGTGGCTGTGGCTACAATGTAGCTGCCATCACCAGTGTGTGAATGCGTGCATGACTGAATTAAAGCGCTTCGGGGTCCTTAAGGACTAGAAAAGCGCTGTACAAATGCAGGCCATTTACCATTTACATCGGTAAATGGTAAATGGCGTAAGGGTCCAAGTCACTTACGCAATAGATCGTCTGGACATCGCGCCGAACGAGGCTCACAACCTCCAATTAATTGACCGAGCTCCAACTCTTTGATAAGCACAAAATGCAATGTGTGTTAGCTGTACCTGTAATAAAAAGGTTAATGTAATGCCAACAGCTTCAATAAATGTTTTACTGAAATAATTAATTTGATTAATGCAATGGTAATAATGATGAGTATGAGTAGCAGTAAAATATTTCCCTTATTCCACACTAGGAGAAACGTTTCATCACTCATCCAGGCAACTTCTTCAGATTGCAGCCATTCACCAACTCTATGTGAATGGTACTCATGGCTTTTGATCATTCGTTGTTGATCAATGTTCATGACAATTTGCATATCGATGATCAAGGAACTGAGCTCACAGCCCATTGTTCCTTCAGTGGGCTGGTTTCTCCCACTGAAAACCTCCAGAATCAGCCGTTTGGGATTTACTTACCTGGATGATTGAGCATGCATCAAGATATGTTAACCCACTTTGGCAAGGACTGCCTAAGGTTTGTACATCAGTATGAGCAAACGGCACATATGATCACAGATTACAGGACCCACCGGAGATTCAACCTGAGACAAAACAGGATTACTCCTAAAAGTCTGCAAGTGAGCTCTTCAGTCAATGGCCTCCGAGCAATAACATCTCCAGAAGGCACAGCACCAGTTGCTTAATGAACAAGTGAGACAAACACATTTTGCCATCGACGTTCTAAAATCTAAAGAGGAGCGGATCCGACAGACTTACCATGCTTCTAGATGAGAATACTTATAAAAAGGTGTTTGAATTCACCAAGAAGGCTTGTCTAGCACAGCACAAGAAGTCTAAGACCAGGCAACAAAGGAAGTCTGACTTACTTGTTGTACGCTGGAAACCACAGCAAAATACGGAGAGTGTCCTCAAGAGGGAAGGATGCCACACTGAGGATGTGGACAAGTGGGTGAAGAATTTGTCTGACAGACAGCCAAACAGAGAAAAACATCCTTGCTAAAGGGTTTAACTTTGTTGTCACACCGAGACAAATCCCGCTAGTGGAGCTGATCACAGCCACAGAAACAACCATTTAAAACAAAAATATTGCAGAAGTGAAAGCAGAGCAACTACGGACAAAAGTTTCGGCCTGTCTCAGCAATGCAAAGCCTCCAGCATCCAACATCACCATGGAGGAGAGGAAGGCACATCACTTAGTGATGTCAACAACATTATCATCCTTCCGGCAGACAAGGGTAGGTGCACAGTATTGCTAAACCAGAAAGACTATCATGAGAAAATTTTGATGAACCTGAGATACAATGATCATGTCAATGGTCATTTTAATCATTCTAAATATGGAAATTAAGAAAAAGCATTTATATCTGAACACAAACTGCAGAGTATGAGCGCTCTGATATGTCTGTGAAGGTTCTCAGTCATCGTAGTCAAAGGAGCTTGGAAAGAAAAGCGTCTGGACTTCTTTAAGTTGCTTGAAGACG